CCGAACAAATGAGAACATAAATCAAATTTAAAAGTCACTGAACTGGCAGTTATCCCAAAGTCAATAACCCATCCCTTACAACATATTGCAAAAGCGCCTTGCAATTAGAAATTGATCTATTTTGTTAAAATGGTAGATAAGGTTACAATTGTGAGAGCAATAAACGGGCGTTATACTTTATTTAGCAGAAGTCTTATTGACATAAATTTAACAGAACATTATGTTTTGCATTTACATTTATCGTCGATTCCACTAGAAATAGAACTTTTATTCTTCGACCATAAACCGTACTGCATAATTCTTCTGCGTTCATAAATTCCGATCTGACATACAACATATTTAAACAACATTTATCAAAACAAATCCACACAATACAGAAATACTGGAATTAGCGGGTTTACCGGTTATATAAAATAAAAAATACATATGGTTAGCGTATAAGAACCAACCCTTTAAGCTTACGGCGCAATCTTAGAAAATTCGATATATAGTAAGAAGAAGAACAGCTTACATACCTATCCCAAACGGCTATAGGATTATCGAACCAATTCAACATTTCTCCGTCTTGGAGAAATATTGTTATCTATAATTATGCCAGCAACTGTATTTTAAAGCCTAGTTTGCGACAGATTCCGTTTATAGTTACTGCAGCACCATGCGTCAACTATGACCAATTAAAAAATATTCATAACCGTAATAGACCCAATATATCGGTGAAAGAAACTTAGTTCGAGAGATGGAACGCTCAATTGGAAAGGTCCTTGATGCAACGTTGGTAATGTCTTTTGAACAATACATTGCATAAGCCATTTAAAGAATATTCCAATTAGTCGCTGTAGTAACTTTAACACTATCCCAATCATCGTACTGTGCATGTAATATGTACTTGTTATCATTTATTATTTGAAACCATTTTCATGCATTTTGAGAACGAAATTGCAGGAAGCGCATTGGTCAAAACATCATTTTGAACAGAAAATTTGACAAATTGGGAAAAGCACTTAAGAATCCGAAACCTGTTGGCCCAATAAGTTTAGGCGTTATTATTATTTTATATTCAATCAACAGTAAAGCGATTTACATACAACTGATCTTATCATACTTCATTAGAATATCTTGAATACCAACCATACGTCGATTACCCAAAATAATTACAATTTTAACTCGCTTCATTTATTACAGATCTATGCGAATACAGTAATCAAATTAATCATAAAGTATTTCTCACCATCTGATTCTGTCCTATTTTGGTAGAGACAATTAAAACAGAAATGCATCCTCTTGCAATTATTCTTATGCGGCATACAATAATAGTAATACAACCAATGTTCATGGACTAACCGTGCTCACAATTGGCAAAACGGGAATGCCATTCAGAGAAGTATATCGTTCATAGCTGCAAAAACCAACAAATTCTAATAAAGAAATTGATTGCTCAACTTTCTCACATTTTGCCCCCCATCACTTAAAGCACTTTTTTTCATCTCGTCCTCTTTCTCCAATACACTAGTTTAACAACAACTAACATGCTTCTTGCTTGAACACTTCCATTTGCATTTCCATTTCCGTTCGAATGCCCGTTCTCACTTCCAATCCCATTCGTTCCCACACACTGTCCCTCTCCAGACGGAATTCTAATAACCAACCCAACCGGATTCCAATCTAAATCGCGTATTTCCAAGCTGTCCGATATCGTTTCGTCTATGCTCGAGTTGTCCAATGGCAGTGACGGAATATCCGAACTAGAAACGCCATTGCTGTTGGACCGATAGAGACTCGATGAACTGAGATGAACATGTGAAGATATGACGACGAAGCGATACTTCAATGTTTGCGGGTCGTAAGAAAGTTCGTAGCTAATTAGAATTGAAAGAGAAAAAATATATATGAAACACTCATGTGTATAAGAGGAAGATAATATGACTACTATAGGACTAATAATGTGCCTACCGTTCGT